TTATTGACAGTTTGTATATCTTCTTTGGAGAAATGTCTATTCAGATCCTTTGCTCATTTTTGAATTGTGTTAGTTGTCTTTCTATTATTGAGTTCCAATTATTATTTTTATATTCCAGATAAAGATCTATCAGATATATGATTTGCGAAATTTTCTCCCGTTCTATGAGTTGCCTTTTCACTTTCTTGATGGTGTCCTTTGAAGTACAAGTGTTTTAAATTTTGTTGATATGCAATTTATCTACTTTTGTTGAGTATGCTTTTGGTGTCGTATCTAAGAAACCATCGCCTAATCCAAAGTCACAAAGATTTATGTCTATATTTTCTTCTAAGATTTTCATAGTTTTAGCTCTTACATTTAGGTCTTTGATCCATTTTGAGTTAATTTTGTGTGATCTGAGGTGAGGGTCTCAATTCGTTCTTTTGCGGGTGGATATCCAGTTGTCCCAGAACCACTTGTTGAAAAGACCAGAGAACTGGGTTTTTTTAAAACTATATTTGTTTTCTGATTTCTAACTCTAATTTTACTTTAGTGTTTTTTTTTCCATATTCAGTTTATTTTTCCTGTTTTTGTGTCAGATGCTTAATTCATGTATTATATTATTTACTGTTATTCATATAAGTATTCAAGGTAATGAATTTTCCTTTGGTTACTGTGTTAGCAATATTCCATAGATTTTTATATGCAGTATTATTTTCTTAAAATTCTGAAAATTAGATTTTTATTTCTCCTTTGGACCTAAGAATTATTTAATAGAGTGATTTAAAATATTTTTCCCAGGTTGAAAGGCCATTTTTGTTATTTGATTTTGGTATTAATTTCTACTTTTCTTGAATTTTTGTTAGAGATCATTAGTTGAATTATTGCTACTTTTTGGAATTTTTTGAAGTTTTCTCTAGATCTTATATATTGTCTTTTTTCTAGATGCTCTGTGGGTACTTGAAAGTAAAGTGTGTTTATTACTATTATTGGAACACAGTAATATTTATATATTTAGACACACATATATTCACATACATATCATTTGGTTTAGTATTCCCTATCTTTATTTACTTTTTAATTACTTGATTTGCCTTGGATGACAGAAGTTTATTTAAGTCTCTTTTTATTAAGGAGCCTCTATTTCTTCTTGTATCTCCTAGAGTTTCCACTTCAAGAAAATTTCTGCTGTTTTATTTGGTGCTTAGATATCAAAGATATTATATTTTTTACAATTTCCTTGTGAATGTAGGTTTTATTATTATAAAGTCATCTGCGTCTCGTGTAATGCTTTTTGTCCTGAATTCTGCCTGGTGTGATATAGACATCATGCTCTTTTGTTCACCTTAGCTCCCTGTGCCTTTCCCATCATTTCATTTTCAGCCATTATGAAGTGCTTAATTTTAGCTGTTTCTCTTGTATATAGAACAGAGTTGGGTTTTTCTTTGTGAGTCAATTTAAAGTTTTTTTTCTGTTAAAAGGTGCATTAAGCTCACTTATATTTATTAACATGAGTGATATGTTTGGCCCAGGTCTGTCATATTATTTTTATGGCCTTTAGTATGTAGTCTGTTCCCTCTCTCTCTCTCTGGTCATAGGAGGTTTTCCATTATGTTATTCCTTGATATAATATATATTCTTCGCCCCATGTTTCTTTAGACAATATATTTTGTTCCTTACCATAAACAACAATAAAATTAACTTATTACATTTGTTCTCTTCTCCTCTCCCTCTTTCCCACCATCCATTATTACTTTTATTTTTGGCAATAGTATTATCTTTCTTAGTTTATCTTTGTCCTCTTAAATTGGCTTAAGCATTTACTGTTTGACTTATCTGCTTAATGTTATATTTCTTTCTCCTAACTGTTCCTCAGAGACAATAAAAAACTTATTACGGTTTCTTCTTTCCTCTTCCATCTTCCATTATTGTTATTAGTTATTTCCACATTATTAGAGCATATTAATTTACATACCATTTTGTCACCTTTAACCTCACATTCTTGCCCTAGTTCTACAGTAAATATATACTCAATGCTTTCCACTCATCCCTGCTTATTATCAACCCTTTCTTATTATCTGAAGTTCGTAATCTAGTTTCCCCAGGAAGGGCTTATGGGAACAACGTTCCCAAAGTTTCTTTATGTTCAAAACTCTTCTCTCATAGCCCTTATACTCAAAGTACAGATTGGCTGGTATAAAATCCTCAGCTCACCTTTAAGTTTTTGAGTTTCTTGAGGTGTTCTTTTACGGCTCTGAATGTTGCTGTCAAGACTGATGCCAAACTTCTTTTTTCCCTTAGCAGTTCCTTGATTTTGGGGGTGGGGGAGGAGGAGCTGGTTGCCTGAAGGATTCTTTATTTATTTTAAAGGTCTAATATTTTACTAAGATAAGTTTTGGAATTGACTATCTTGTATCAGTTTTCCCAGGTATGAGATATGTCTTTTGAATATGTAGAGAAAGGTCTTCTTTTATGGTTAGGTGCCACATAACGATGTTTTGTTCAAGGACAGACTGCATATACAAGGGTGGTTCCATAAGATTAGTACCATACAGCCAGGTGTGTTGTAGGTTATTCCACCTAGGCTTGTGTAAGTACACTCTAGGATGTTTGTGCAACGACAAAATCACCTAACGACGCATTTCTCAGAATACGTCCCTGTCATAAGTGACGCATGACTGTATTTTAGGGAAGTTTACTTAAATTATAATCTTAAACATTTCTTCTATTCCAATGTTTAGTTTTCTTCTTTGGAGACTCTGCTTGTAATATACTGAATCTGCTTTGTTGGTTTTCTATACTCTAACTCTTTTGCCTTATTTTAAATTTTTGTTTCTTTTGCTTTTCTTATTTCTATTTTTATGATCCTTATAATGATTTCTGTATTGTTTGTTCCCCTTTGAAATCTTTGTAATAGAAGCTTCAATGAAGACGAGAAACAGTCATTGAAAAGTGGCTTTTTCTTCAATGCCTTTTGAGGGTTTTCTCAGTTCTTATTTCACATCTTCCTGTTGTATAGACGTTTTTTCCTCTGAGTTTCTTTACTTCTCCTTCAAATATTCTTTCATAAATCTTAGTTGTTTAATTAAATTTTGGAAATTCTTGAAGATATCTTATATTGGAATTTTTCTTTATAGAGACTCTTTCCTACTGAGTTCTCTTCTGATGAAAATCTTGAATTTTCAGGGCTTTCTTTCTTATGATATGTCTTTAAATCTTTCTGTATTCAAGACACTATTTCAGCTACTGCGGGTAAGACAAAATATATCAAAGAATCTACGGGCGTTACAGGGACACAGAAATATTCAATTCAAGTGCTGAAAGAAAAAGAATCATAAAAATTCTGCAGGCAAAATATTGTGCAAGTTTGAAATAAGGACAACCTTTGTCTAGGCTGTCCAGTAAATTTTATGTAGTAGGTGACATTTATGCAGAATTTTACTAATCAGAGATGGAAAGAAACCTACCCACATGCAGTTGCCTCACTCATTAGGGAGAACAGTTACTCCCTACTCCTGAGGTTTCTTTCCAGACTAACAGCTCTGGCCCTCTGCACTGCTTTATTGAGGTCTACCCAGAGTGACTTATTTGATTGCCGAATTTTGGGTCTCAGCTTCTCCCTTCTCATCACAAATCTGACCACTTTCAGGAAACACCTATTTTGCTCTATTCTTCCAAATTTTATGTTTCATAGGGGTAGGCTGTTTCCCTGTGGGAGAGACCCATGGTAGTCCTGCTGAGCCTGTGATAGGGAAAGTAAATTTAATTTTGGAGAGTATTAAAATGATCACTTAGTGAACACAACTAAGATACATCCTCTAACCTAGCCTTTTTCAGTAGCAAAGATTTTTTTTTCCACCTTACTGACTACCTCTATGTCTAACCCTCAGTTGGTTCCACACCTGGGAAAGGAACAGGGTTTTCATGTTGGGACAACACAAGCACTAACATCACTTCCTGTTCAAATAGCTTTAGCAGCTCTTTATAACATACAGAAGGAAGTTCCAGATCCTTTACTTTCCATTCCAAACATTCTTAAGTTTGACCCTCAGTTCCCTTTGCAGCTTTATCTCAGCCTGCAATCCCTCTTCCACCTCACGCTCAAAGCTCCTGTTCCCCATCTCTGCACCTATCCAGGGCTTCCTACCTCCTGGCCTTTGTTCAAGAGTTTGCCTCAATATGCTGCCCACATCCATCTGGTAAGATCCTGAGCTCCATTTATGGCCCAGAAAGCATCCCTTTTTTGCCTCAGTCTTCTTTGTATCAGACATATGTGTGTGTGTGCATCCAACTGTTTTTTGAGATTTTAGAGACTAGAGATTATGATTTCTTCTTTGTCAATACAGATAACTTGAAGACTTATCTGTACATTTCTTCACTAAATAGCTGTTGGATTATTAAATTGGTTTCTGGAAGAATGGATAAAATGAAACTATTTCTTCAGAATAGTGACTTCACTTGTGATAGACCAAAACAGGTAAAGTCTGGGGTCTGAGTTATTTGAAGGCAGCCGAATAAGCGAAGAACCCTGAATCAAAATTTTATAGGATTTTAATATAGGCAGTTATGTCTATCGCATTAGATTGAAAATTCTGAGGTTAAGATTATCTTTGTCTTATTTACCTAACATTCTACCAGGTCCGGAGTTGGCACTTAGTATCTGTGGAATGAATGAATGGGAGTGAATGAAGAAAGCTCTTGACTCCTCTGAGAGTACAGCTGAAGAAAATGAAATTATAACTAAAGACATTTGGGACAGAAAGGAGTGTAGAGAAATAAACCAAGAAATCTATTTTAATTCTTAAATTATGTCTCCCACACTTCCTAGCACATTGTATTTAGTAGGTTTCAAAAAAGATATACAGTGCATATAATGTGTGATCAATACCACACATTAAGGGCATTCTTTCTTCTTCTCTAGAGTTCAAAGAATGGCACATTCATCAATCATCTAGAGTGAATTATGTTTAGAGAGTTCTAATGGATCTCATTTGAGGTCTCTTACTCTGACTTCTGGGCTCATGGCAGCAGAGAACCAGACCAGCATCTTTGAGTTCCTCCTCTGGGGCCTCTCAGAGCAGCCAGAGCAGCAGCACATCCTCTTCCACTTGTTCCTGTGGATGTACGTGGTCACTGTGGCTGGGAACCTGCTCATCGTCCTGGCCATTGGCACTGACGCACGCCTTCACACACCCATGTACTTCTTCCTCGCCAGCCTGTCCTGTGCAGACATCCTTTTCACCTCCACCACTGTGCCCAAGGCCCTGGTGAACATCCAGACCCAGAGCAAGTTAATTTCTTATGCAGGATGCCTGGCTCAGCTCTACTTCTTCTTGACTTTTGGGGACATGGACATCTTTCTCCTGGCCACAATGGCCTATGATCGCTATGTGGCCATCTGCCACCCTCTCCACTACACAATGGTCATGAGCTTCCGGTGCTGCATCCTCCTGGTTACTGCCTGCTGGACCCTTACGAATCTTGTTGCCATGACCCACACCTTCCTCATATTCCAACTTTCCTTTTGCTCTAAGAAGATCATTCCTGACTTCTTCTGTGATCTAGGACCCCTGATGAAGGTGTCTTGCTCTGACACTCGGGTCAATGAGTTTGTGCTCCTCCTCTTGGGGGGAGCAGTTATTTTAATCCCCTTTATGCTCATCCTGGTCTCTTACATTCGCATTGTTTCAGCTATCCTCAGGGTCCCCTCTGCCCAGGGAAGGTGCAAGGCCTTCTCTACCTGTGGGTCCCACCTAACTGTTGTCTCCCTGTTCTTTGGGACGGTGATCAGGGCTTATCTGTGCCCCTCATCCTCTTCCTCCAGCTCAGCAGAAGAGGATACAGCAGCTGCCGTCATGTACACAGTGGTCACCCCCCTGCTGAATCCATTCATTTACAGCCTGCGGAACAAGGACATGAAGGATGCCCTGGGGAGACTTCTCAGAGGCAAAGTCTCCTTCTCACAGGGCCAGTGACTTCTGCAGAGAAACTTCAGGTGTCCTCCATCCCTTCAAGTGAGGAACTTCACAGAAATTTCTACCTCAAGTGTCTCATTTCTGAATCGCACATGTGCCTCATCACCACTCCCCTCTTTGAATCTCCACCACAAGTTTGATATTGTTGAGGAAAATCAAGGTTTCACATCATGTTTTAAAGTTAATCTATTGACAATTGCTTATTTACTCATTTATTTTACTTGTAAATTAACTTTTCACAAGAAGGAATGTCTTTTACAATGTTCATAATTTTAAAATTCTGTGCAGCCTTTTATGCTAGTTTATCAAAACTTGATCAGTGAGGGCATGGAAAGTGGGTTAACGATCAAAATATTAGCAAGTAAGGTCAACACTGAGTGGCAGAGTTTATAACTTTAAGTGAATAAGTATGTTTTTTTCCTACAAAAATAGGAAATTATACAAATACTTATTGCCTCAAGGGTATGAACCAAAAATCTGTGCAACCATTAAAATAAAGCTGTCAACAATACATGAATGATCTATGTTATTTTCAGTAAACAGATTATGAACACTTTATAACGAGAAGATAAAATAAATAAATTTAAGGTAAATATTATGGTAAGTAGTGAGTTTCCATTCTCTACCCTTCTTCCTTATCTGTTTATATTATGGCTGATTATGAAGGCTAATTTTCACATTTGCAGTAAAGGAATCTCAAGTTCCCTTCTGTCGAAACTTATGGTCTCTAGCCTCGATCAAGACTGAATCAGTTGGGATAATGGGGGCTTGTGATTTTTATTTCTACAGTGCAAAATACACAGTTCCATACTTACTGAGAGTGAATGCAAAATCATTGTCTAAAGTTGAGGCCATGGAACAAACTCATTACAGAGCTTCATGAGGAAAGAGTCCTGGACTGGTGCCCAGGAGTACCAGATCGTAACCTATGTGCCTCCACTTATTTTTTATGAGTCTAGTCTTCCTCTCTGTGAAATGGAACTATTGATATTCATTCTGCCTACCTAACAGATTTTGTGGGGAAAATGCCTATATTTTGGCTGTTATAAGAGGGAAATTCCAAATAACTGCAGCTTCAAAAAGCTAGATATTTATTTCTCTCTCATGTACAGGTTAAATAGTCCAGGTCTGATATGTTGGCTACACAATCATCCAAGACTCAAGCTACTTCTCTCTTGGTTTTCTGCCAACCTCAAAGAATGGTTCCACATCATGGTCCAAGATAGCTGTTAAAATTCGGCCAGTAAATTTTCATTTCAACCAATAGGAAGGGGGAAAGCATCTATCAGAGGACACAACTTTTCCCACTAAGGGCAAAGTCTGGGAGAAGTGGCATGGATCTCTTTCATTTATATCCTATTGGCCAGAAGTTGGTCACTTGCCCTAACCCAGCTGCAATTGAGCCTGGGAAATGTATCCTTTATAGTTGATACCCACATGCTCAGCTAGTATTGTGTTAATATGGAAGAAGCAAAAACCATGTATTAGGGGAAAAACAGCCATCTCTGCTACAATGGGGTGCCATGATGGCAGTTAAAACCCTGCTAGCATAAAGAGCTGTTGAAAACAGGTGAGCTCATGGGTACTCGGTCACTCTCTGAATCCTCAAGGTTGTTGGAATACGAGCCAAGGAGATGTCTTCTTCCTAGTGATCATAGAATTTGCCCAGTAGAGTGGCAATAAATGTCATCAGCGGCTGATGATAATTGTGTGGTGCCTGAGATATTCTTCTTTGAGGATCATCTTGTCCCTGTCACCTCCACCAGGTGAGTACCTAGAGGGATAGAAGCTATAGCCTGACCTTTGGCTCTTCCAAATACCTATTACCAAACAGGGTAGCAATATCCCTCGGGAACATGAGTTCACATGTCAAATTAACCTGACACCTGAGATTACAACCAGAATTAAAATAAATGAACAACCCATATCACTTTAATCTAAATTATTGGAAAAGCCTTAGAAATTAAAATAAGACTGATGAATATGCTCAAGGATATTTGGGAAGATATTAAGAATATGAAGCATAAAAAGAACAAAGTGGAAACAGTTATGAAAACATAATAGTTGAAGTAAATAATTCAATAGATGAGATGAATAGCAGGATGGATACAGGTAAAGAATGAATTAGTGAACCAGAATATCAAATATCCTGTCCCCCTATCCCCACCCCAACAAGAGGCAGTCCTGACTGAAGCAGAAGAGGCAGAAATTCCTTCTGGAGAGAAAAAAGCCATGCTTGCTAGTTGTGGAGCTTCACAGCTGGCCAGCCAGGGGCCACCCTAAGGTATGCAGCCCTTCCTGGAGAAGTGTGGATCTGAGAGGGGGCCCGTTACCACTATAAGCATCCTTCAGACTCAGCACAACTGAGATGAGTGTCATACTATCTGGCTCTGCTGGCTATTAACTGCAATGGGGAATGTCCCCAGAAAAGCTATCGACATAAGCAGAATGAAGCATGCTCTTAAAGGGCCCACACACAAATTCACCCATCTCAGAGAGCAACATAAAATGACCATAAAGAAAGGTGCACAGTCCTTTGGTTAAAAGAGACTCACCTGGTAGGCTCTGGGTGCATCTTCATGAGAGGTGAAACCTCTCTGGAGACCGAGACATTGGTGGCAGCCATTGTTGTAACCTAGTATAGGCATGTTGACACAGATGCTGACAGACACCATTGGAGTTATTCTTCTGGCCTGTTAGCCCAAGGGTCTGCCACAACCACTAGAGTGCAGACTTAATCTAGTTCAGCCATGCCAGGGAGCTCACCCTGGGGACTGGCCCCACCAAACAGCAAGCCCTCAGGCAACTATTAAGCCTGCATAGACTGGGTGCTTGGATCCTCTAGGGGCAGGTGAGTGGGTCCACTTCTGTGGGGCAGGGCCTGTGTGAGGACCAGGTGAACTTTGAGGGGTGTTTGTGGAGAGGTGGGGGCCTCTGCAGTGGGGCAACTGGGTATGCTCCAGGGGATTGGGAAGTGTGCACAGGCCAGGACTATGTTGACTGGTGTCTGTGGACCTATGGTGGGTGGGGCTTATCAGTGGCAGAAGACCTGTGCTTTAAACAGTCACAAAGGGGATCAGCCCCAACTTCCAAAGCCTGAAACAACTGAGTGCTCCCATGCCTGGGGCCAGCCCCAATCAGCTGCAATCCTAAGAGAGCTGACAATAACCTTGCAGGCATGAGGCCTACAGCAACTGTAAGCCCCTGAGCCTAGTAACCAGCTACACTGGGTGCCTACTCATTTAACAGGAAAACTGCAATAGGATCATGCTATTAGACCTTGAAGCCAAGGGTTCTGGGGCTCTTCAAATCTGATGTACAAAGAAGTGGCCAGGGAGGGACAGCTAGACTCCCTGGGTACCTACAGTAAGAGCAACCCTGCTGCAGCAGAAGGACACAAGTAGCCCACACAGGGGTCACTCCTGGAACATTTGGACTGATGACAAGAGGGAAACACACTGTTGGGCTTCAAAAGGCATCTCTAACATAAGGCCAGTTCTCCAAGATCAGGAGACATAGCTGACTCACCTAATACATAGATACAAACACAGAGAAAAAAGGCACAATGAGGAGGCAAAGGAATATGTTCCAAGCAAGGGAACAGGACAAAATCCCCCAAAAAAGAACTAAATGAAACAGGAATAAGAAACCTACCTGAAAAAGAGTTCAAACAAAAACTCATAAGGATGCTCGCAGATATTGGGAGAAGACTGGATGAACACAGTGAGAATGTCAACAAAGAATCAGAAAATATAATAAAGAATCAATCAGAAATGAAGAATACAATAATGAAAATGAAAAATTCATTAGAGAGACTCAATAGCAGAGTAGATGATGCAGAGAAAAGACCAGAGAGCTGGATGAAAGACTGGGGGAAATCATCCAAACTGAACAGATAAAAGAAAAAAGAATTTAAAAGAATGAGAACAGTCTAAGGGAATGCTGGGACAATATCAAGTGCATCAACATTTGTATATAGGCGTCCCAGAAGGAGAAGAGAGAGACAAAGGGGCAGAGAATCTATTTGAAAAAATAGTAGCTGAAAACTTTCCTAACCTAAGGAAGGAAACAGACATCCAAGAACAGGAAGCACAGAGAGCATCAAACAAGAAAAACCCAAAGAGGTCCACACCAAGACACATTATAATTAAAATGTTCAAAATTAAAATAAAGAGAGAATCCTAAAAGCTGCAAGAGAAATACAAAGAAAAGTCCATAAGGCTATTGAGGGACTTCTCAGATGAATCCCTACAGGCTAGGAAAGAGTGGCATGACTTATTTAAAGTGCTGAAAGGAAAAAAGCTACAGACAAGAATACTCTATCCAGCAAGGTTATCATTCAGAATGGAAGCAGAGATAAAGAGTTTCCCAGACAAGCAAAAATTAAAGGAGTTTATCACCAGGAAACCACTTCTACAAGAAATGCTGAAGGGACTTATTTAAGTGGGAAAGAGAAGACAACAAATAGGGATAATAAAATTATGGAAAAAAAAAAAAACCCAGGCAATAAAATCACTAGTAAAGGCAAAAATACAGTAAAGGTGGCAGATAAACCACCTATGAAGATAATATGAAGGTTAAAAGAGGTTAAAAGTATTAAAATTAGCTATTTCAATGATAAGAGAATAATGGACAGACACATACAAAACAAGAGATTAGATGTGATTTCAAAAACATACAATGTGTGAGGAGAGGAGTAAAAGAATAGAGCTTTTAGAAAATGTCAAACTAAAGAGACTATCAACTCAATATAGATTGCTATATACGTAGAATATTATATATGAAACTCATGGTAATCACAAACCAGAAACCTTTAATAAATAAACAAATAAGTAAGAGGAAAGAAATGAAACATATTGCTAAATAAAGCCAACAAACCCCAAGGGAAGAGAACAAGAGAAGAAGAAATGGACAGAGAAGAACTAGTAAAACACTCAGAAAAAAAGTGACAAAGTGGCAATAAGTAGCTACTTTAAATGTCAATGAACTAAATGCTCCAA